AAGATTTAATCATTTATTTTCAGGGTTATCAGATAGATCGGATCGATTATCAAACAGAATATTGTCTGGATTAGTGTCGTCATTAGTACCTTCAAATTCATTAGATGAGATTGCATCATGCTGTTGAAAGTTGTCCAGGCTTTTATTAATTTTTAGTATGGATATTTCTTCTTCTAAAAGTTTATCTTTTCGTTGTAAATCTTTGATAAGATGTTTAATTTGGTTAATTTCTTGTTGAGTGATTTCTTGTTGTTTGTTTTTAAATCTTTTTAAAGTTTTTGTTAGGCTAATAATTGGTTTATCATGTTGTAGTTTAGTATCTTTGTTAATTAATAATGATTTTAACTTGTTAGTATATTTTTGTTTCAATTCAGGATCATCTAATTTACTAATTAATTCAATAAGGGCAGTTTCTTCTTGGTGTTGTTTCGTAAGGACAGTGATTTGTTTAATTGGTTTACAACAAGTATCATTACATCCTAGTTCAATGTTACTATCAGAAGTATCACTAAGTGAATGGTAATCAGATGAGGTATTGGAGTTGGGTAGGTCAGTAGAGGAGTTATTAGGAGAGTGATTTAACTGGAAAATTTTAAATAATTGATTTTTAGATTCATCATTATTAGGAGTTGATTAATTTTATCTTTTAATTTTTCTTTTTCTTTACACTTATTGGAATAATGACCATTTTTCCCATAATTATAACAGGTAATATTAGAAGAAGATTTGGAAGGAAATTTAGATTTTGACTTTTTAAATGATTTAGATTTAAAATGTGATTTTGGTTTATCATAATATTTATCAGGGGACTTATAAGTAGAATATTGCTTGCGAGATTTATGACTTGATTTTTTAGGAAAATGTCTATTTCGTTGGGACTTTCTCCTAGGGGGTGCTATAGGAGGTAAATCATATTGTTCACAGAAGTTGCCGAGTTCATATTTAGCTTTATGTTTATCTTTAGCAGCTTTTTGACTAAGTTTTAGATCAATACACATTTTTAATCCTTCTTTTTGGATAGTATTAATTATATCACCATAAGTTAAATTATCATATTCAATTATTCCAGTAGGTTGACTAAGAACATCTTGAATCTTATAAGCAAAAAGACTAGGTAGACCATTAATAAATTTTTCTTTACAAAATGATTTAGTACAATCTTCGCGTAGCATTACTCTGGACGTAAAAACATCTTTATACCATCTTAAATCACTTAACGTGGGATAAGTAAGGTTACTAAGTTGATCATGTATTCTAGAATATATATTAGTAGGTGTGCCAATAAAATGTCTAACGATAGTATAATTTAGGTTATTGATACCATCAGATTTATAATATCCAATTGTTTCATCAAATATGGGAAAGTCATTTTCATCTTTTTGACTTGCATGTAAAATAGATACTCTTTGATCTTTAGTGAGATATTTTTCCCACCAAGATTTTAACATACCAGTAAAACCAGAGGTGATTAATGAAACAATTTCAGGTTGAGTATAATCAGAGTAGTTACTAAGATAACTATTGGCAACCATGGATAAATGGTTTAATTTTTGGAGGATTTGATCTTCACTAAGACCATCTATATTCCATTCGTATAGTTTTTTTAGCAGAAACAGAAAATTGATTATTAAGATTAATTTCTTCATATTGAAGATCAAGGAGAGTAGGTCGAGAATACTAATTTTTGGTAAGAGTTGTAGGATTGACTCTAGGATAAGTAATTCGATTAAGATTAGAATATTGAAATTGCTGAGCTAATAGATTGATGTCATTGTCAGATGAGTCGGTTCCTGATGGATTAGAAATAATATCTAGAGTAGGTTGTTGGTTTAATACAGTAAGACATTTTTCAGTTGAGGGAGAAGTAGCTTTTTCGTCTGAAGGAGAGGCTAATTTAGTGAATAATTGTTCTATAATTTTAACAGTAGAGCTATCCTAAGTAGCCAAACTATCTCTTTTGGAACGTTGACTTGGGAGATTAAGTAAAGGTTTTTCTAAAGGTTGTTTTGAGGAATGACTAGTTGAATATTCATCTAAATTAGTTTATATTTTATCTAATTGTTTACCAATTATTTTTAAATATTGATTAGTATAATTATTTTGTTCAATGACTTTCTTTAATTCAGGTTCATTACTAAAGGAAGATGACTAGAACTAACAGTAGTATTTTGAGAAGTTTTCCGTTTAGTTTTTGTAATTGTATTAATTTTAGTGTTGTTTTTGTTGTTCCTGCTTCCGTCTCTTTTGGTATCATGCCTTTTGGGTGCATTTAAGTAAGGTGCATCTAAAAAAGTAAAAAAAAAAATTTAAAATTTTAAAAATATTCGCTAAAAAACAAAAAAACACGAAGACCAAAAACCTCAATTTTCAAAAAACTTAATCCAGAAAACTCAAACCAAACACACTGATAATTTTGTCCCAGATTTAACTACTCAAATTTTTTTAGGGAAGAGATTGTGTTGTAGAAATTAAATGTGTCGTATAAAATTCATATATAAAATAAATATGAATCATAAAATAATAATTCTAAATAATTTTTAAATAATTAAATCTATGCCGATAAAAGAGAAATTATTCGATAATCTCAGAACGCTATGTGGTCATATTCTAAGCCAATTACAAATTACTTAGCATCATGTTATTTTTCCATCCTCAACATAAATCGTGAGCCCCTATCCCTCTATCAATTAAAATCTTATAAAATACATATTCCGAGAATACTAAATAATCACCCAATAAAAGAACCCCTTTTCCACTATTATTCCAATAAGTCCCTAAACATGGTGAAACCCCACATGTTCCTGTTTTCCTGTCCTGGTGCGTCCTCCAATCTCAACACTCATACCATTTGATTTTTTATTTTTATTTTTTTAATTAAAACTTGATTAAAAATTGAATCGTAGATGAATCAAGAAAAGACTTTTATGGGGGAAACCACTAGTGCCAGTGGGACGGAAGGAATTGCCCAACAACAATGGCAGTTCAACTTAGCCCCAGCAGTAGCAATGCTGCTTTATAGCAGTTAAATAAAATAATAAATTAATAAAATTCAACTACTTTGCCCAGCCTAAAAATTAAAATTATTATTATTTTCGAATGGTAAATTAAAATTATTTAAAGCACATGTCATTTCGGAAATCACGTCTTCAAGTACTAAATGTCCGCTTGCGTCCTGATATTTAAGACCGGGAGCTGAATCAATTGCTAGAGCTCTTGGGTGTCTCATATGGGTTGCAAGTTGGGGGAGGGGACAGGAGAGGATTCATTGATGTGGGATTGCCAATGGTCCAAGGGAATTTTCTTTGTGTCTTCATTTTATGGTGCGTTACGCAGTATTGTTTCCTTAGAAGTGTGTTTGGATGGCGGCCATACCATTCAAGGTAACTTTCTTTGTTTGGATGGTGACTGTACAGCATATTGTAACAATTGATAACTTAGTACATTATGGGCATATCTTGGTGAATTCGAGTTGTTTGTGCTGTGGCAATGCAGAGTCAGTGGACCATTTGCTCATTAATTTGTTATGACTTTTGGCTTGATTTGGGTGCAGGATCTGTGTTGGCAATTTTGCAAAGTTGAGAAGGGAGTAAGGTTGGGAAGAGGCGCCAAAAAGCTCGGATGATTGCTTCCCATTGTTTAATATGGTTGATTTGGTTGAGCGCAATAGGCGTGTTTTTCAGAGTGCCTCATTCGATTCCTTAATTAGAGAAGCGGCTTCTTATGGTGTTATGTAATTAGGTTACAGGTTTGGTTAATTCAGATATTTTGACTTTTGTAAATTTTGTGGATGATTTGATTTCTTAACTTTGTTGGGCCTTTGGAGACTGTATTTTTGTATTCTTTGCATCATCTTAATACTTTTCTAATAAAGTTTGTTTATTTATCCCAAATAATAATAAATAAACAAATAAATAAAAGAAACAACGAAATAGCAACAATGTTGGTCCCTGAAACTTCTAGGGTCTATCAGAAGAAGAGAGTAACAACAATATCTAAACCTTGACAATCCCCAAAACCAGACTAAGACTATCATATAAATTAAAAGAGACCAATTAATGATACAATCATATCCAGGCAAAAACAAGGACCAGTTGATGACATAAATTGCACTCCCCTTTCTTATCCCAAATAATAATAAATAAACAAATAAATAAAAGAAACAACGAAATAGCAACAATGTTGGTCCCTGAAACTTCTAGGGTCTATCAGAAGAAGAGAGTAACAACAATATCTAAACCTTGACAATCCCCAAAACCAGACTAAGACTATCATATAAATTAAAAAAGAGACCCCAATGATACAATCATATCCAGGCAAAAACAAGGACCAGTTGATGACATAAATTGCACTCTCCTTTCTGATCAACACCCATTTCCTAACTAATTTTTGACATCCCAAGCAAAACAATTACAACTGTGCACTGCAATTGCACCGTGCATGGATTGCACTTGCACACCCGACACATGTATCACTTGCACCCAAAAAAATAAAATTTGCAATGGGGAAAGGGTCGGAGGGGTCACAATGGGAAGTGGCCTAGACAGGTTTGGGGGTTCCAGTGGCTAGGGTTTGGGTCAATTAAGTTGTTGAGTGCAGTGGGAAAGGGCTAGGACAGAGGAGGGGTGGGGGAGTGGTGGCTTGTAAGGGGAGGAGGGGTTTGGAGTGGCAAAGGAGGGCGGGGCAGGTAGGAGAGTGGTGTATAGAGGTAAGAAAAAGGAAGACGGAAAAAAAGAAGATGAGGGCATTTCAGTAAATTCAATTACTGATTCCCATGTTTGCTTGTAATTAATTCTGTTTTTCACATTTGAACTGCAATTTCAAAAGGCAAAAAAACAAAAAAAAAAACATTGATTTGTAAATCTTTGCCCCATTTACCACTGATATACGTTACTTTCCCTAACATTATCAAGGCATCTGAAAGACCCTTCAATTTCTTTTACATCAACAGCACTTAAATAAAGAACCAGAAACCAACAATTATAGAACCAGAAACCATGACATTAATACACACATGCAGGGATATAGAAATATCCATCAGCCATGAATTATATAAATTATATACTAACGAAATATATATACACAATATTTCTGTACATTTATAACATGCGGACATGTTGCAGAATTATTTAATACAAGGCAATGGAAATAAAGATAACGTGGATGATAAAATTGCAAGGAAGACATCAATGATAACTTTTAGGCTAGTGAAGAATTTGCAATCCAAATGTGTTTTCCCCGCTATAAGTAACATAGAGAAACCCATCCTCATCCTTCTTGTCATCATATATAGTAGACATTATTCCACCTATGATATCAAAGAAGCAAAAAAATATGTTGAGATCGACTGCTTATCTATTATTCTAATAGCTTAAAGATTGCATTGGTAAACAAGAGTGGACCTAGAAGGGGGCAAAAAAAACCTTTTTATTACAATATTATTAGCTAATAATTATATTCGAATTATATAAGCTTTCTCGCTCTAGGTTTTTTAAAAAATTAATTCATTGCACAACTCGTACCCCTACACCTATGAAACATGGAAATCAAAGTAAAAAATTAACACTATGAACAAAATATAACAAAACAATTAGGTTCTCATATAACTAGTGTCGATTATAAGTCCTAATAGAAGAAGGTAAAGGAGTCAACAATTCATTTGATCACATTCATATAGAAAGACATTGCTTGGTGTTTTAATGATGATTCTATCACTGGTGCCTCTAATAACATGAAGATGTGCACATGGAGTGTCGAGCACAACTCAAGATACTTCACTTTAGTAGATAGATTGTCTTGCAGGCAATATCTTTTGTAAAACATGTTTATTTATATATGGTTTTCCATGTTAATTTTCACCTTTTATGTTGATAAAATATTGATGTTGTAGTTTTTACTTTATTTTTAAAATTTATGTTAGTATACACCTCCATGTTAGAATCCTGGGACCGTTCCCACTAGTAAACTAAGAAGAATTTGAAATTTCCACATTTACATCTCAATTTTTAACCACTAAGAAAATTTACGATTTGTCCAAATAAACATTGACCTTCTTTTGTAGAAAAACAACAAAGTGTTCAAAGAAAAGTATAGTTTAGTTTAATCAGGATGCAAAATATAATTAGAACTATTATCTAGAATTTAAAATAAAAAAATACTATGAATATAGGGGAGATGCCCTAGTTCTGTAACACTGTAGAAAGAAGCAACTAAAATTCCAAACTAAACAATTCAACAAAGCACATGAACTTGCAACAAAGATTACCTGTAGGTGGAAGGACATTGTCCACAAATATAAAGATTGCTTTCTCAGCACTCAGTTTGATTCTCTTCCGGATTACATAGACAAATTGCCCCACTGTCAGGTCAGCTGGAACAAGGTATCTGTAATAATCTTATTCAAGTGAGTGAAAAACGTTACAAAACATTTAAGCAAACATATACTAATGTAACATTGGCCTTCATGGGCAGTGGCTATCATTGCTGCTTTTTCAGCATTTTAGGTAAATCCTCTGGCAGACTATGTAAATAACTTGCCCCACCATCAGATAAAAATAAAAAAATAGAGAGAGAGAGAGAGAGAGAGTATTAAAGATATGAACTTATTTAATTTAACTAAGCACATAGCCCTTAATAGAGTTGAATGACGAAAAAGAATTCATGTAATCAACTTCACGTGATTGGGACACAAGGCTTTAGTTTGGTTTAATTTAGTTTGGTTCATTTTTTTCCCTATTCCAATTCCATCTACATCCTTATGCATGCATACATAATACAAGCGAGAATATTCCCCACACATTAAATTTCAAGACTAGTATTGTTGGTACTTTGCATTATACATTTCTAAATGATTAGAGTAAAAAGGTAAGTACATTTTTGTTTTTGTGCCCAACTTCGATAAGTTATCATTCACTAGTAGTAATTATGGTTGATACAAGGATGATAAATACTTCCAAAATAATGAGCTAGCTTGATAGGAAGTATAGTATCAAGTTGAAAATCAGGCAAATCACCAGTAGGTGAAAACTTCACTTACTTCTTCTTGTCGATGTTGGGAATATCACTTCTCTCAGCCTTCTCCACAATCACCTTTAGAGCAAGAGGAAACATCAAAAGAAACATGACTTTAATCTTCAATGATGTTCAAAAAGTTATTTATTTTTATTTTTATAACTAACAGTTAATGATATTCATAGGAATATTTTTCTGCTTGTGTTATTGTTATAATCTCCATGTTAAATAGAACAAATACAAAACAACATCAGCAAGTCAATAACAAATTAATGTATCATTTGGTAAAATAAAGAGAGGCTGAAACCAAATTCATTTTTTCATAAACCAAAAGTTTCTATAGAAATACAGAGTTTAAATGCGAAATTACTAAGCAGTTTGAGTTGCTTGATGAATCGATTCCAGCTCCAAAAAAACAAAAAAAAATTACACTCAAGCAGGAAATAAAAAAGATTTTGCCATAACTTTGCTTCATATGTGAAAAAACAAAAACTTCACCAGGACACTTAAAAGTTTTCCATAGTTATACAAATGTAGACCGGAAAAGCACATGGTAACCATATTATGTCTTATGTCAAGAAATATGACAATTAGGGGTGGAGAAAGAACAGTTCAAATTGGTACGGAGACATTAATGTTGGTGAGTCATTGAATTCACACTATACGGAAATATACACAAATTAATAATCAAGCAAAAATCTAATACAAAAGCAAAATACCATCAAACTCTAAAAAAGAATCTGCAACAACAAAACGAACAAGGAACAAGCTAATTACAAATCATTGGACAAAATTTTTAAATTAAATATGTTATTCTTACTGGAATTCGGTCTGGGTACTTCTCCCTAATTCTTGCAGCCTCAGCACGCCTCTTATCTGAAAATTGGAACACAATATTAAGCCCCAACACCACCATTGCCATGGACAAATATGTTAAAACAATGAAAATTGGAACACAATATTAAGCCCCAACACCAACATTGCCATGGACAAATATGTTAAAACAACGTGATGTACAGTCAGGGAAAAAAACAAAAAGGTACATACCAAAGTCATGCTCTTGCTTGAAAGAACTCATAGTTATCTTCTGCATAAAGAAAATGAAAAACTTCAATAGTAATAACAAATATGAAAGATCTCAAAAGAGCATGTCTCCAACTAGCACATAACCCTCTTCTTGCATTCCCAAATAATGCTTTCTAGGTTTGTTTGTTTTTTGAAATACAGAAAACAATTCCAGTTCCAGAGGTACAACCACACAAACAAACTTTTTTAAAATAGCAGGGTTGCAGATGAATAAAACCCATTTCTAACAAGTAATAGCCCATACCTACATAATTATGAAAACCCAAAAAACCCCAAAAACAAAAAAGGATTTTTCTACATAATTATGTATGGAATACAGTTCAACTGAATTCAAATGAACATGAACCCTCAAAACCAAAGAGACAGACCCATTACATAATTATAAAAACCCAAGAAATCCCAAAAACAAAAAAGATTTTTGTACATAATTGTATATGGATAATGGAATACAGTTAAACTCAATTCAAATCAACAATAAAACCAAAGACTCAGAGGTAGGGCAAAAGAACCCAAAAGTATTGGTATGAGAAACAGAACAAAAGCCCTAAGATTGATAGAGATTAACATATGGGTGTGTATATATATGAGGAAAGACTGATGACTAAACCGATCATATGGTTGAGAAAATCAACGAAAAGAATAGAAGCATAGACTTACCCACCAAAGATTGAGAATTGACGAATTGTTGGGAAAAAAATTCCAAGAACTATCTCTTTCTCTCTCTGTTATATGGATATCGAGAAGTCGTCTCGTCTGTCTTTTGGGTAAAGAATGTTGCAAAGCAGCGAGTTTGGTTGAATCGTCGAAGCCAACTGTGGTATTTTTACTTTTTTATAGGTGGAGTCTCTCTCTCTCTCTTGAGTCGACCTTCGTTCACGACACGTAATTGTGGGATGTGTGATCTGAGGGAGTGTTTGTTTTGGAAGGATCGGGCATGGATTGGATTTAGACCAAGTTTGATATTTTTTAAAAAATTTAAAAAGTTAAAAAATTACTATTTTATTTAAGTTATATCATCTTATTTAAGTCATATCACCTCTCTAACACATCACTTCAAACCCAACCAACTCATATTTCATAAAAAGTCAAAAAGTGTACTTATTTAGTCTTTCCAAACTTGACCTTAGTCTGGATGGTTTAATAGTCTGTTGTTTGTTTTAAAAGTTTTGTTTGGAATTAATGGTTCCTTCAGATTATTAATCTCATATTTGTGGGACTATGACATTCCATGAGGGTGGAATAAAAATCATAGGATAACTCATCCTATGAGATTAGCTGAAACCCTAATTCTGCTGTTCTCCTGTTCGTGAAGGTGCTGGATGTTTGGAATGTAACTGAGAAGTCGGAATGAGTTTGGTTCTGTGTTGATTTTGGCGAGGGTATTTTGGTCCACAAAATAATTAAAAACACGCGCGAAGTTGTTTCAGGGACGTGAGGCATCACTATCTTTTTGTGTGTCCTTTATCCTCTAAATTGTTATTATTAAGGACCTTAAAAAAAAATCCCCATTATAATATCCCCTATCAAGTCCGTCCAAAGAAACACACCATCATGATAAATTACAATGTGGGGGACTTACGTGTACTAATAACTAGATTTGAACCCAAGAGTGTTTGCCAACTGGTGTTTGCCAACTTAGTAAAAATTTAGGATTAAAATTCCAAGTCTCAAGTTTGAAATTTTTTGGATTAATTTTCTGAGCGTAACACAATTAGTTAAGAGGGTAGTCTCAAATTGTTACTATCACAGCATTAAGTGTGGGTCCAATGCTCCCTCACTGTGTGAGTCCTGACTTAAGTGAAGTTTGTCTTAGGAAGTCGGGTGCACAAGTCTTAATTTAAGTAGAGCTTGTCTTAGAAAGTCGGAGCAAGTTCGCAGGTTATAATCTCCTTACTTAGAACGGACAACAGGATACCTCAGTGATCTCTACAAGGGGCGCTGCCTTGGATCTGTAGGAAAGTGGGATGATTTTCCTGCAACAAAAAATAAAATAAAATAAATAAAAATAACTAGATTTATTATTTAATAAGTTTTTTGTGAAAATTAATAGCATTTTTTTATTAAATATTATTAAAAAAATGTCATTAATTATTAATTTTTAGTAATAGTTTAAAATTTTTGTTATAAAAAAATTACTAATTATAAGTTTTAATGACAGTTTAAAAAAATTGTTACAAAAAAGTTATTAATTTTCAACTGTCAACAACAGTTTAGAAAATTTCTCACAGAAAAGTACCACTAATTGTAAGTTTCAGCGACAATTTAAAAAAATCGTGATAAAAAATGTTATTAATTGTTAATTTTTAGCAACATGTAAAAAATCGTCTCAAAAAATTATTTTTAATGACGATTTTACTATAATTTATTTTCAATAAGACTTTATGAGAATTAAATCTAACTATTAAGACCTATTGGTATTTACCCAATTACAAACAAGCTGCTAAATGTCGTTACCTTTTTTGCCTTTTTTTTATTATTTTAGACTCCTATTTCTTTGGCCTTACACCACCCATCTTTATTTTTCTTTGGACTCCTACCATAATTCTAAATATACCCTTTGAATCTTATCCTTACACCTTCTATCTACAACTTCTCATTCCTTTGTTTGACTGTCCCCCTCCCACTCTGGCGATCATTCTCCTCCAGCGACCTTCCATCAATGTCCCTCATTCGCCAACGGCCTTCTACTCTTCCTTCCGATCTCTACCCTCGTACTTCTAGGACCTCTCTTACATTCTGGCAGGCACTTCAACCCCTATTTTTGTTTTCATGACCACTCTGTCCGTCGTTTAGAAAACCAATTCCGAACAAAAGCCTAATGTTTGGTAGTATGTAGCCAAACAACAGGCACATGTTCGATTGTAGAGCATCGAACATATTCAAAAAATTCGACTTTGTGTAACTGAACGACAAGAAATCGACCAAACTGCGAGATAGAGAGAGAAATCAACAGGGAAAAAGAGAGAGTTGCGCATGAAAGAGAGAAAAGAGAGTCGATCTGGATTGCTCGGTCGTGCAAGTGTTCATAGTGGTATAAGTGCTTGTGTCAATTCTCGCCAAAAGTGTTGGATTTTTCTGGCAGTGAGTTCCGACAGATGCCATTCACAACGTTATTGCTACAGTTAGCAACAGATAAAGTAAGGATACACCAAGAAAGGTCATTGGGGAGCAAAAGATGTAGATTTTTGTATGTTTGTGTATACAATGGTCGAATTCGTCATGGATTCCAACAATGTAGAAGTAAATAGACCGTGATAATTTCAGAGTTCAAAGACCCCAAACCATAACCGGAGGCTTTTAGCGGAAGTGGGAGTAGTTGGTCACCGAAGGGTATCGGTAGGAGTGGAAGTGGTAGTGTGATTAGGCTTAGGGTTAAACTTGGGAGGAGAGGGATGGGGGGAAAATTGAAATTTGATGTTAGGATAAAATTGTAATAAAATAAAATAAAAAATTGAGAGTCCAAAGTAAAAGATATAGGCATTTAGTAGCTCTTATTACAAAAGTTATGGTGTACACCCTTTAAAGGGTTCAAATTTCTAAGTTATGATTATAAAAAATAAAAATAAAAAATGTCATAACTAAACACAATATGAGACATAACTGAAGAATTCATGAGTCATAATTAAAATAATTTCATAACTAAAAAAGAAAATTGGTCATAATTGAGGGAAAAAAATGACATAACTAAGGATGCATATGATACACCATTTTTAAAGGGATGTATATTAGAATTTCCCCATGATAAATTACAAAAAGTACATATTTGAGGTTTTGCAAAACACATTTGGCCCCTCGATTTCATATTGCATTACAACTTCTCCCCAATGCTAGTCAACCAATGAGACAATTTTCAAAATACCTAATGGAATTTTTTATTTATTTTTATTTTTTTTGTGCACTTGGGTCAGGTCAACTCGCAAGCCAAACCTTAGGTCCAAATCTTGCCCAACTGATTTGGCTTTAAGTTCACAAATGGACTTGCAAATCAAATTGACATATGAGTCAACATGCTAAGATTTAAAGGCTTTTTTTTTTCCTTACTTATTTCATAATTTCATGATAGCTTGATGGGTCGTGTCACGACCCAAACCCGGCCCTATGGGTTTAGCACCGTAACCGGCCAGTAATCCGAGATTACCGAAGGCCTGCTTAACAGTAGTATAGTAAAATAGAGTACAGGGCCTGGCGGAAACCAATACAGTAAGTAAATAGTGTCCATTGAGCTGTGACAGTCTGTATGCCAAAAAGATGTTTCATGCATTCATACATACACAAACAGTACAGTCTATACAGAATTTACGGTCACACAGTACAGGGACCTAATCTCTTGGTAACACAAGTTTCAAAGCTCAATTTATGAATTCAAGCCCCAAAGGTGAGTCAATTAAAACCACATTCAAACCCATTTTCAAAAATATGAAAAACATGCAAACATGCATGGATTCAAACCATTTTCAACCTTCAAAGCTTGTTCAAATGGACTCATTTCTTCAAGAACATGATGAATTCATGGAGTATGACCAAAAGATGGACATGCATGTGGGGAAACATGGACTTACAACCTCAAAACTTCAATATATGTACATGCATGCAACAATTAAGCTTCAATTCAACAACAATGAACCAATTCATGACTTAGTCCTACAATGAAGCATGAATCATGCAAGAACTAGCTCAATGACATCATTAAGATGATGAATGATCTACCTTAGGTGTAGAATTAGAAGTGAGGGAGCTCAAATTAGCAATCAACACTTCAACTCCAAGCAAGATCAAGCAAATCTCTCAAGAACAACTCAACTCTCTCTCACTCTAAGGTCGGCTAGAGCACAAGGAACGGGCTGAGGAGAATGTTTTTTGCTCAAGTATAATGAGCTCAAGGTATAGAGGTAGTGGCCCACTCAAGGGCAAAACGGTAATTAAGTCCAACTCTTTAATTGGCTTATTTTAATCTAATTTAATCATACTTAATCAGTTTTCAAATAATTATACCATAAAATCACATTAATTATGAGGATCATAAAACACTAATCAATTCCGATTTCGGCCGCCGATAAGGCCTTCAATTATCAGTCATAATCAATTCAGTTTAACGGTAATCGATGGTTATCGGTAATCAATCAGTCATTAATCAGTAAACAGTATGGGGGTTGTTACAGGTCGAGCCACATATCAAGCTAAGCTTCAAAACCATAGCCCAGACCAAGTTGGCACACTTAAGGTACATGTTCGGCTTAAAGTAAAAACTTAGTAGGCTGAGCCAGCTTTTGAACCAAATGATGACCCTTCTATCTCCTTGTCTCTTTCATATTTTTTCCATCTCTATATCATTTTCTCTTTTTCTTGTTACGCCTGATGGTATTAGACAAACATTGAAATTAGTTGGAAACGATTAGGTATTCTTCTTCACTAGAAATGGTGACTATTCAAAAGCGGGTACTCAACAACAAAACGACTCGGAGGATAGGGTATTGATAAGTGAGGTCTTGGTGAGAATCAAGGGAGACAAAGGGTGGGTAGTGGAAGTAAAGCTACTTGTTGGTAGGTGGTGGTGATTTATTTGTAAGAATTTGTGACTAATTAAATCTATCATACATTGTTGATCATCTTCTTATTATTTATCATCTCTTTTATTTTGGATTTTATGTTACAAGATAAAATTTTGGATGTTTATACAACATTTTAAGGCTTATGTATAACATATTAAGTGTAAACAGTGGTGAAACCGCAGTGGATCTAGGGGGGTCACGTGTCCCCCCTAGGTTTTCTAATATGTTTTTTTTTTTTTTCCTAATTTTTTTAATATTTTTTTTTTTTTTTTTTTTTGCAAACATAAAGAAAATATTTTGAATAACAAAAATTATAAAATATTATTTAAAGTGAAATATCAATGACATTTTTAAAATTAT